GAGAGACAGAGAGAGAGGGAGGGAGAGTAGAGCGAGAGCGAAAGGGAGAGAGACGGGGAGATAGAGAGGGGAGAGAAAGAGAGGAACCGAGCAAGGGAAAGAGAGAGGGAGAGAGTAAGAGAGAGGGAGGGAGAGTAGAGCGCGAGCGAAAGGGAGAGCGAAGGAGAGATAGAAAGGGAGAGAGAGAGAGAGAGAGAGAGAGAGAGCGAAAGAGCGAGAGAGAGAGAGAGAGTAGAGCGCAAGTGAAAGGGAGATAGAGGGAGAGATAGAGAGAGGGAGAGATCAAGAGGAAGAGAGAGAGAGAGAGAGAGAGAGAGAGAGAGAGAAAGAGAGTGAGAGAGAAATATAAAAAGAGAGAGAGAGCATTTATCTCTTCACGTGATATTACCTAAGGCTAATATTACTGAGTGTCGTGTGACCTTAGAAGGTAATAACGTTATGACGATATAAACTGAACGAGAGACAGTGAGATAGAGGATAACATAGCTTATTTAAAGAGAGAGAGACAGCAAGATGGACGGAGAGAGACAACGATATAGAGGGAGATAGACAACGAGATAGAGAGAGATAGACAACGAGGTAGAGGGAGAGAGACAATGAGATAGAGGGAGAGAGACAAGGAGATAGAGGGAGAGAGACACGATATAGAGGGAGAGAGACAACGAGATAGAGAGAGAGAGAACGAGATAGAGAGAGAGAGAGAGAGAGAGACAACGAGATAGAGGGAGATAGGCAACTAGATAGAGGGAGATAGACAACGAGATAAGGAGAGAAAGTGAACGAGATAGTGGGGTAGAAAGCGAGCGAGAGAGAGAGAGAGAGAGAGATAGAGAGAGAGATAGAGAGCGAGAGAGACCGATAGATAGATATATAGAGAGAAAAGGGCGCGCGCCAAAGTAAGAGAGGAACAGAGCAAGCGAGAGAGAGAGGAACCGAGCAAGCGAGAGAGTAAGAGAGGAACCGAGCAAGCGAGACAGAGAGAGAGGGAGAGAAAGGGAGAGCGAGCGAGCGAGAGAGAGAGATATGGAAAGAGGGGGAAGGAGAGAGAAGTGGGAGCGAGAGAGAGAGAGAGAGAGGAACCGAGCAAGCGAGAGAGAGAGAGAGAGAGAAGGAGGAGGAGGGAGAGAGAAGGGGAGCGAGATTATCTTATATAATATATATGAGGAGAGAGGCATAGGGAGATATATATATTTATATATATCATATTATTATTAATATGACAGAGAGAGAGACGAGAGATGAGGATGAGAGCGCGCGCGAGAGGGACGCGAGAGAGCAGAGAAGACGGGAGAGAGAAGATAGAGCAGGGAGAGGGGGGTGAGGAGGGATACGAGAGATAGACAGTAGAGATAGAGACGGAGACGGCAGATAGGAGAGAGAGAGCGACTGCGAGGAAGAGAGAGAGAGAGAGAGAGAGAGAGAGGAGAGAGAGAGAGTGGAGGAGAAAGGAAGCAGCTATGTTCCGTAATACATCATGGCCGGTTCACATATTTTCGATGCGCACCCGTTTTGGATAATACTATAATATAATAATAATAATTCCAATAGAGTTTCAGGACGACCGACACGCGATCGGGTTTTGCTTATGGTGATGAGCTAAGGTGATGCAAGGTTGCCTTCAGAACGGTGGCGTATGTCAGGCTCGCTCCAGTTTGTTAATCCCGGATTCACTCAATGCGCTAAATATCGGCCATAACTCTCCGAGAGGGCGATGCGAGAGAGAACACGCGGAGAGCGCGGCAGTACGAGCGGCAAGATGCAGAGAGAGTAGAGTGGCGAGGTGTGAGAGGAGAGGGAGAGAGAGAGTGAGGGGGAGAGGGGGGAAGGAGAGGAGGAGAAAGAGCAGAGAGAGAGCAGAGGGGAGCGATGAGGGTAGAGGCTCGAGCAGAGCGGGAGAGGAGAGAGGGGATAGGACGCTGTGAGAAAGGAGGAGGGTGAGAGGCGGGGGAGAGAGAGATGACGGGAGAGAGAAGAGAGGCAGACGGACGCCCGAGAGAGCAGGACGAGAGAGGCACGCAGAGGAAGGAAGACCGAGGCGACGGCAGCGGGACGAGCGAGGAAAGAGGGAGGACGACAGAGAGACGACAAGACGAGAGGAGGGGGCCGAAGAGGACCGAGAGAGAGAGAGGCGGGAATAGAGAGGCGTTGCATAGAGAGGTAGGGAGGGGGAGATGAAGGCGGCGAGAGGCGAGGAAGACGAGAGGCCGGGGCAGGCGAGAGGGAGGGAGAGGATCGGTGAGCGGAGAGAGAGAGTGAGCGAGAGGAGCGAGTGAGCGGAGAGAGGGACAGGCGAGAAGAGCAAGAGACGAGAGGGAGGTGGAGGAGGGAGACGAGAGAGAGAGAGAGGAGGAGGAGCGAGAGAAGAGAGGAGAGGATAGAAGCAAAAGAGTGACAAGAAGAGATGCGGGAGGGAGGGAGAGAGGCGAGGGAAAGGCAGAAGGGGAGCGAGGGAGGGAGGGAAGGAGGAGAGAGGGAGGGGGAGGGAAGGAAGCGGGGAGAGATAGTGAAAACAGGGAATAGCAACAAGAATTGCGGTAGAGAAGAGTGGGGAAGAGATAAGAACCGAATAGGTAGAATTAACAGTATAGAGGTGAAAGGGAAGAGCCCGGATTTGGAAAGCAAGAGTGGCTGCGCGGCGCGATAGAGTCTAGATGAGAAGTAGATGGAGATGAATTAAGATGAGCAAAGATGAACAAGTATATGCTTCTAACGGAGTTGTCTGCAAGTCGCCAGAACATTCGTAGTACAGGCCAAAAACAGCCTTATACTCATCGCATGTAAGCACCATCTCACATACAGCATCAGTGGTTAGATGCTTAGACATTAGATAAATAGAGAAGCGCTATATTGAGTCTTCTGCGCTCATTTTGAGGTCAGGCGGGGTTAAATGAAACTGAGGAAATGAACGAGGAGACGCGCTGCGGGAACCACGGAGATTAGACGTCGCAGATCAAATTCTCATGTAAGTATGGCCATACTAGAATGTATTATGGACATATACTATGTAGATCCCTTTAGACTAAGATTTGCAATAGGATTGACTCAATAAACGAGTTAGAACTAGTTTGGCTCTGTAGGCTCCTGTTTTATTTGATTCATGTATTCACTTTCGATGAATTTGACAATATTACATGATAAAATAAAAACAAAAAAACAAAGTTAATATGACCTGTCGTCTTTAGACCCTGTTGTTCATTCACATTTCTTTATTAATAAATTATTTTACTATACCTAATGTGCCGAAACATTTTTTTTTTCGATCTTCTTCCACAGGAAACTCACTATATGTGATCTATGTCGTCCTTACAGATGATCTGTTCTATTTTCTCCATTTCAATTAATATAGGATTCACTTTTTGAAGTGCGGTTGACAATATTTCAACGAGAAAGGTAAAGGCAATATTTGACTTTTCGTCTTACTTCCCCCCTCCTTGCTGTCAATGGCATGTACTTAATAATGCTCATACACTATAATGTCGTGCGTGTGCGTGCCGTCGCGACCGTCCGGCGCTGGCGTTCTCTTGTGTGTGTGTGTCGCGTGCGTGTGTGTACGTGTGTCTCTCTGTGTGTGTGTGTGTGTGCGTGTGTCTCTCTCTGTGTGTGTGTGTGTGTGTGTGTGTGTGTGTGTGTGTGTGTGTGTGTGTGTGTGTGTGTGTGCGTTTATGTGTGTGCGTGCGTGTGTATGTGTGTGCGTGCGTGCGTGGCGTGCGTCTGCGTGTGTGGGCATGCGTGTGTGTGTGTGTGCGTGCGTGTATGTGTCTGTGTGTATGGGCGTGCGTGTGTGTGTGCGTGCTTGCGTGCGTGCGTGCGTGTACGTGCGTGCGTGCGTGCGTGCGTGTGTGTGCGTGCTTGCTTGCGTGCGTGCGTGCGTGCGTGCGGCGTGTGTGTGTGTGTGCGCGCGCGCGTGCGTGCGTGCGTGCTTGCGTGCGTGACTTACCAGGTATCGGCGGCACAAGTTCGTAGAGTGCTTCACACATCTCCTCCGCTTCCTTCTCTCCCGTCACATTGTTACTGCGCATACTCAAAGCTAGTTGGTTGGATCTACACTGACAGCGTCAAACAGCGCTCTTCTATTCACGAAATCCTAAATTTCCTGAAAACATAAAGAGTCACACAACTGCGTTTCATTGCCTAACTAGAATGCTGGTGATTGCATATCGCTAGTCCTATTCTTCTTCTTCTTCTTCTTTTTCTGCTACTGCTGCTGCTTCTTTTTCTNGAATCAAATTCTCAATATAAATATGAGCAATAAATAGAATGTAAATATGACATATTATATGTAGATAACCTTTTAGATAAGATTGCAATAGATTGACTCAATAAACGCATAGAAATAGTTTGGCTCTGTAGCTCCTGTTAATTTGAATTCATGTAATTCACTTTCCAGATGAATTTGAAAAATATTTACATGATAAAAAATAAAATAAATATGACATGTCGTCTTTAGACACTGTTGCTTCATCTCCACATTTCTATTAAATAAAAATAATTTACTATCCATAAATGTGCAGAACATTTCCACGAGGAAAATAAAATATATGTGATATGTCGTCCTTACAGATGACTGTTCTATTTCTCCATTTCAATTAAATATAAGGACTTCACTTTTGAGATGCGTTGAAAAATATTTCAACGAGAAAGTAAAGGCAATAATTATGACTTTTCGTCTTCTTCCCACCCTCCTTGCTGTCAATGGCACTACTAATATCTACCATACACTATAATGTCGTGCGTGTGCGTGCGTGCGAGTGCGCGCGCGTCTGTGTGTGTGTGCCGCGTGCGTGTGTGTGCGTGTGTGTCTCTCTCTCTGTGTGTGCGCGTGTGTCTCTGTGTGTGTGTGTGTGTGTGTGTGTGTGTGTATGTGTGTGTGGTGTGTGTGTGTGTGTGTGTGTTGTGTGTGTGTTGGCGTTTAGTGTGTGTGCGTGCGTGTGTATGGTGTGCGTACGTGCGTGCGTGCGTGCGTCTGCGTGTCGTGGGCATGCGTGTGTGTGTGCGTGCGTGTATGTGCTGTGGTATATGGGCGTGCGTGTGTGTGTGCGTGCTGCGTGCGTGCGTGCGTGCGTGTACGTGCGTGCGTGCGTGCGTGTGTGTGCGTGCTTGCTGCGTGCGTGCGTGGCCGTGCGTGCGCGTGTGTGTGTGTGTGTGTGGCGCGCGCGCTGCGGTGCGTGCGTGCTTGCGTGCCGTGACTTACCAGGTATCGGCGGCACAAGTTCGTAGAGTGCTTCACACATCTCCTCCGCTTCTTCTCTCCCGTCACATTGTTACTGCGCATACTCAAAGCTGGTGGTTGGATCTACACTGACAGCGTCAAACAGCGCTCTTCTATTCACTAAATCCTAAATTTCCTGAAATTATAAAGAGTCACACAACTGCGTTTCATTGTCTAACAAGAATGCTGGTGATATCGCTAGTCCTCTTCTTCTTCTTCTTCTTCTTCTTCTTCTTCTTCTTCTTCCTATCATTATTATTATTAATATGTACCGTACTAATGTTAGACATGCTTCAGCTCAATATTTAATTTCTCTAATTAACATATATTTGTAATATTTACATACGCACAAATACTCACACACACACACACACACACACACACACACACACACACACACACACACACACACACAACACACAATACACCACACTACCACACAGCCACACCCCACACACACACACACACACACACACACATATATATATATATTATATATATATCCTAACACATAATATACACATATATAACATTATACATTTATATATGTAACGTGCATCTAACCTCTAACTCATATCCTAACACATTATATACATATATATAACATTATACATCTATATTATGTAACGTGCAACCAACCTTTACCACATATCATAACACATAATATGCACATATATAACATATATCAGAAGTAGATAATAGGGAATTCTCTATTATCTACTGTTGCATATAATATTATGTAACATGCATCTAACACCGACACACATCTAAGTGGGATGTGAGCGCGAGGGCGGGTGTGTATGTGTGATCTTCTTCCATTAACCTTCTGTCTATATATATATATATATATATATATATATATATATATATATATATACATATCTTTTTATTTTATATTCACATCATTCGCTGCGGGGTATATAAACAACAGAAAATATTCGCAGCGAGTTTTGCTCTGCGTGATTTCCCAGCGGGTGAAATGTGACAACGTTGCTAGTGACGCCCGCACATTGTCACCGGAATCTTTCTGCTGTTCTACTTCGACGGCACAGCTAGGATATCTACCCACAACAACAACATACGGCTTAAATACGTATATATATTATACGTTCAAATTGGCATTCAGTTCGTCGTAGTGTGTGTTTGCGCGATCGTGCGCATATGTATGGATGTATGGACACCTACACGTACACGCAATACGCGCACGCAAACGCATGTGACGTACACGTACACGTACCCATGTGACGTACACGCACACATACACGCAAGCACGCACGCACGCGTATCACACACATACACGCGTAGTTTACACGTAACAAGAACTTAAGGTGAACGTAAACTTACAGGGAAATAGTACAGGTACATGATATTTACAGGTACATGATATTTACAGGTACCTGATATTTACAGGTACATGGCATTTACAGGTACATGGTGATTACAGATACATGGTATTTACATGTATATGGTATTTACAGGTACATGGTGATTACAGGTACATGGTCATTACAAGTACATGGTATTTACAGGTATATGGTATTTACAGGTCCATGATATTTACATGTCAATGATATTTACAGGTACATGGTATTTACAGGTACATGGTGATTACAGCTACATTATGATTACAGTTAAGTGATACCTACACGTAAGCACGAGGTAGATGGTGATTACAGGTAGATGGTGATTACAGGTAGGCCTACATGGTGATTACAGGTAGATAATACTTACATGTAAGCACGAGGTACGTGGTGATTACAGGTGCATGGTGGTTGCATGTAGATAATACTTGCAGGTGAACGGTTGCAGGCTGCAGCAGGCATACTTCGACCAGGCATCTGTGTCGCGCGCGCTCTTCTGCCTCCTATATAAGGACGGACGCATGCGCTCTACACACACATCTCTCTCTCTCCCTCTCCCTCTAGTCCAGTCAATATATGAAAATTATTGGACTCTCTCTCTCTCTCTCTCTCTCTCTCTCTCTCTCTCTCGCTGTTTCTCTCTGTGTGTGTTTCTCTCTCTGTGTGTGTTTCGCGCTCTCTCTCTCTCTCTCTCTCTCTCTCTCTCTCTCTCTCTTTCTCTCGTGTTTCGCGCCTCGCTCTTCTTCTCTTCTCTCTCTTTTTCTCTCTCTCTCATGTCCTCTCTCTCTTCTTCTCTCGTCCTCTCTGTCCCCTTCTCTGTCTCCTCTCTCTCTCTCGTCCCCTTCTAAATCTTCTCTTGATCTCTCTCTCTCTCTCTCTCTCTCTCTCTATGTGTGTTTCGCGTGCGCTCTCTCTCTCTTTTTTCTGTCTCTCCTTCTCTTCTTTCTCTCTCTCTTTCTCTCTCTTCCTCGTCTCTCTCTCTCTTTCTCTCTGGCTTCGCTCTCTATCTGTGTTTCTTGTCTGTGTTTCTCTGTTTCTGCTCTCTTGTGTTTCTCTTTGTGTTTCTTTTCTCGTACTCCTCTGTTCTCTGTTTCTCAATCTGTCTGTGTGTGTGTGTGTGTGTGATGTGTGTGTGTGTTGTGTGTGTGTGTGTGTGTGTGTGTGTGTGTGGTCTGTGTGCTGCGTGTGTTGTGTGTTATGTCTCTCTCTCTTCAATATTTGTTTTCTCTCTCTCTTCTCCCTCTATCTATCTATCTTGCGTTCCCCTCTCTATATCTATATTATTCTATCTATCTATCTATCTATCTATCTATCTATCTATCTATCTTATCTATCTATCTATCTATCTACTAATCTTTATACTATCTATCTACTATCGTATCTATCTCTCTATCTATCTATTATCTATCTTTCTATCTATCTATGCTATCTGATGTACTCTATGCTATTATCTTATCTATCTATGCTATGCTATCTATTATGTATCTATCTCTATCTATTATCTATCTATCTATCTATTTATTATCTATTATGTATCTCTCTCTCTCTTCGTCTCTCCTCTCTTCTCTCGGGTCTGCTCTTCTCTCTCGTCTTCTCAATCTATCTATTCCTATCTAGTCTATCTATTCATTTTATTATCGTATCATCTTATGTCACGCGACGCTCTCTTCCTCCTTCTTCGCTCCGCCTCTTTCGTGTCACAAGCAGCCGCGTTCCTCTTTCCATCCATTCTCTATTATTATCTCCCCTCCCGCCGTCTCTGCTTGCCCCTACATCAACAAGTGTGGAGGCTACCGTAGGGGAGGCATGGCGAGCATCGCGTGTCATGACGCGTGTGTGTGTGTGTGTGTGTGTGTGTGTGTGTGTGTGGGTGTGTATTGATGCGCAGGTGTATTGATGTGTGTGTGTTGTGGGTGTCGTGTGTGTGTGTGTGTGTCGTGTGTGTGTGTGTGTGGCGTATGTGTGTGTGTGCGTATTGTAGTGTGTGTGTGTGTGTGTGTGTGTGTGTGTGTGTGTGCATGTGCACTTGCGTGTGTGTATGTGCATGCGCGCGCACTTGCGTGTGTGTATGTGCAGGCGCGCGCGTGTGTGTGTGTGTGCGTGTGTGCATGCGCGCACGCGCGTGTGTGTATGTGCATGCGCACGTGTGTATGTGCTATGTGGTGTTGTTTTGTTGTGTGGTGTGTGTGGTGTGTGTGTGGGTGTGTGTGTATGTGTGTACTGTGTGGTGTGTGTGTGTGTGTGTATTGGGTGTGGTGTATATGGTGTGTGGCTGTGCGTGTGTGTGTGTGTGGTGGTGTGTGTGGTGTGTGTGTGGTAGGTGTGTGTGTGTGTGTGTGTCTGCGTGTGTGTGTGTATGTGCATGCGCGCACACTCGTGTGCGTGTATGCGCACGTGTGAGTGTGTATATGTGTGTATCTCTGTTTGTGTGTGTGTGTGGTTATAATGT